CCCTGCCCCCCATAACGCCTATCCCAACCCCACAGGCCACTACAAATAATAAGGGGCTTCCTCATGTGGCAGCAGAATATCCATACTCAATACTTTCTCCTCACCTCTCCCTTGATTGTTCTACAGGTGTGATGTGGAGAGCATGGCCTGCGGTTTCATGCCATTCCAAAGAATTAGCTGTCCATAATCCCTTGCCCCACACTCCTCCAATGTAAGAAAACACATCTTGAAGCAAAAGCACAAGTGACGGCACCAAGATGACACTGCATCCATGCACTCTGCTTTATATTAACAAGCACGATTCTAAATTTCAGTGCTGCAACTCTTAGCAGTAAAGCAACTGTCGTTATATTCATGTAAAACTGCATGGCTGAGAAGCGAGGCTTTGGAGGGAAGCGGGTGGAGGAGAAGTGGGAATGGAGGAAAGGATGGCATATCCACGCGAGAACTGAGTATCAACCCTTTGCACCTGAGAAATTTGGCCACAGCCACCTACCCATAAGCCCCAAGGTTCCAAACAGTCCTGCACTTCCTGTAACATGGAGAGGGAGTTCAGCATCCTCCCTTAGATCTGGAGTTGGGTTCAACTCCCTTAGACAGAACCATGAGGACTTCAACATCTACTGCAAATAAACTGAGCAGGAGCCCTTTGACAACACTGCACATAAGAAGGAAAGGGCTGTGGTAGTTAGCATTACATTTATAAAACTATGAACTTCCTATACAAGAGCACTTAAATCTCCTCACCTCTACACTATAATGGACCTGCCTCCAATTTTTCTTCACACAGAACAGTTCAAATTGTTTTAGATCATCAGAACTTAGGTTAGTGAAATTCTAAATATCTAAATACCCCTGAAAGAATTACTTTGGTAGATGCAATCTCTGATTATTGTGGATAAGAAACCATAATTAAATGTCCCTTATTTCTTTTGTATTTCTTTCTTCCATATAGAAAAAGTTTCCATGATTTTTCCTCTAAAAGGAAATTAAGTTATGGTAAATGGTGAAAACCCTAAACAGCTCAAAAACCATCTCTAGGAAAAAGAAATAAATTCTTAGTTAAGAATAAAAATTCTGGCCAGGTGCAGTTGCTCACATCTGCAATCATGCCACTCCAAAGAGTTAGATGTCCGTAATCCCTTGCCCCACCCGCCTGATTTTAAGAAAACACATCATGAAGCAAAAGTCCAAGTGACAGCACCAAGATAACACTGCACTTTGGGAGGCTGAGGTGGGAGGATCACTTGAGCCCAGGAGTTCAGGCCCAGCCTGGGCAATATAGGGAGACTCCATCTCTACGAAAAACTACAAAAATTAGCCAGGCATGGTGACGCACACCTGTAGTCCCAACTACTAGGAAGGCTGAGGTGGTAGGATCGACTGAGCCCGGGAGATCAAGGCTGCAGTGAGCCAGGGTCACACCACTGCACTCCAGTCTAAGTGACAGAGTGAGACCCTGCCTCAAAATAATAATAATAATAAATCACATTCTTAATCATCTTATAAAAACCAGTCATTTTTTCACCTAGCATGTGTGAACTAGGATCTTCCTATAATACTAAATCACAGATCAGTGATCTTTTAAGGAGGTAGTGAACATAAAGTTAAGATCTGAGACTTCGGCAGGAAATAGACCAATGCCTTAAAACCCAGCTCTGCTGCTTACCAACTGTGTGAACTTGGACAAATTGCTTATTCTCTATATATATATGCTTCATCTGTAAAATAAGGAAAGCTCTAGTACCCACCTCAGATGACTGATGGAATCACTAAATAAGATTATGTACACAAAGCACTAAGCACAATGCCTTGCACACAGTAGGCCCTCAACAGGTATCTACTGGTACCACTAGCAGCATAATAGAAACAACAGCAATAGCAGAAGTTAGATTGCTCCTCAAACTTTATTTCGCTTAGATCCACTCTGGACAAATATAAAAACCCCACTGGTAGTTATCCACCATATATCTGTCTCTCCTCCCTTTCCTGGACAGAAGAGAGGACTCCACCTCCTGCCCCCCCTCAATTATGTCACTTTCAGTTCAAAGAATTAAAGAAACAATGTGCCACCTCCAGTCACTCTCTTCCCCTGCTGTAGCAACCCTTGAAGCCACACATTGAGATACAGAAATCCTGGATCCTGAGTCACTGCATGGAAAAGACCTGTCCTATAGAGTCACTTGACCTGCTTCATACTTTAGGCAAATAAGAAATAAATCTCTAATATGTTAATCCCCTGAGATTTGAAATTTGTTGGTTACTGCAGCAAAACGTACCCTATCCTGACCAACAGGTACTTCTATACTTCTAAAAGGGATCCTAATATACTCCCAAAAAGGGAATACAGTTTTTTTTAATAACTTCCTTTTTGTCAATCTTTATATTTTTTACTTTGTAACACATCATATTTCAAGTAAATAAACTTTTCAAAATCTCCATCCTTCTTCCTCATATTTTTTAATCTAAAAGAGAAAATTACATTTTACTGGTATTAAATATACAGATTAATACCAGAGCTTTCACTGAGTCATATGTCACACAGTCACATTTCACCTACAATACCCAAGGTTTCTCTGATCACAGTACAGAGCAGAACAAGGAAGGGATAATGGAAGTGCCTCAAGCATTCACACACTTCTGGCGTATGGCAACATGAGACAGTTAAGTGGAATTATGAATATCACCTACTCTAAACTGAACTAACCCTCATGAAATGGACAAGTGGTTCAAAAGGTTTTTAATAAAAGTGAAAAAGGTTTTACATGTCACTAAAGTGTATCTCTATGTATTATTCTGCTCTATCTCATCCACATTTAACTCTTTGTGAATGTCATAGAAGACACATAATATGTTGGCAGCATAATGCATCCTGTAATTTATAAATAAATATATGTGCATAATTGGGGTCTGTGCTCAAAGACAAATGTAACGGAAGAAGCATGAGATAAATCACTTTGGAGCTAACAGTTGAGAGAAGAGCTTTCAAACTTTCTGTCCCTACTTGCACCGTTTCTAAACTGCTTTAACAATTTTCAAAAAAACACTAAAATGAAGAGAAAACCAGTACAAAACTGGGGGAAAATGTGCACTGTAGAAACAGGTTCATAAAGACTTCGTGAATCAGCAAAACCAGAAAGAAGCAAAAATGATACTGAAGAGCATCATTTCAGAGTAAAGAACAAAGCTTTCAGTTCTAACTATAAAGTTACATTTCTCCATCTGAAAACCAGCCTTGGCTCTGTCAGATAATCAAAAGGATAAAGTGATTGTTTTCTACACATAGAAGGAAAACAAAAGACAGATTTTCATATAGATCACAAATGCTTCTACAGGTGCTTAAACTCCAAAGAAGTGGTAGCCAGGGAAACAGGAGGATCAGCAGATGACTCCAAGTAAGGCCGAGTACTTCATTAGACCAACATCAAGGCCAGTTATTGGAAAATCACTTGTTCAGTCAACTTAGAGTTGTTCAATTTCCTTCAGAAAGTTAAATAATATCTGGGAGTTTTTGAGCCATGTGGTATCACACTCGTTATGCCCCAGCTCTTAGCACTTCTATAAGCACCAGTAACAGATGAAGCTGGGGCCAAGCATGCAATCCCAGAACTGTGGGATTTCTCCTTGAAGCCAGGAGTTCAAGACCAGCCTTGGCAAAATAGCAAGACCTTGTCTCTACAAAAAAAAAAAAAAAAAAAAAAAAAGGTTTTAATTGTCAGACTGCAGTGACATGTGCCTGTAGTCCCAGCTACTCAGAAGGCTGAGGTGTGGAGGATCACTTGAGCCCAGGAGGTCAAGGCTGCAGTGAGCTATGATTATGTCACTACACTCTGGCCTGAGCAAAGAGCAAGACCCCATCTCAATGAAAAAGAGAGAGAGAGAAAGGTGAAGCTGGAATTTAAACCCAGGTATGTCTGATTCCAAAGCTCTTATAAAAATAGCAGCATTCTAGGAAATAGAGTAAGCATTTAAAAAGAAAATAGCAGCAAATAAAACAGGCCTCACAGAAAAGGTAGGATTTGAAAATGAAGGCTGGCTGGGATTGAACAGAAGATAGCAGGAAAACGGGGGTGCTGAGAAGGCCCCCAGTGGAAGGGAGCAGCAAGAGCAAGGGAATGGCAGTGCAAAACCTTGGGTGTGTGCAGGAATTACAAAGCAGTGGTGCAGAAAGCACAGATGTGGAGGGAGGTGGCAGAAGACAAGGCTGGAAAGGTTGGCCCAGGCCTTCTAGTACCAGTGCTATGAGCTCAGTCAAGAAGGTAGACTGTATCCTGGAGGCAATGAGTAAACACTGAGGGCTTTAAAGCAAGGAAATAGCATAAATGCAGGCAGACACCGGGAACCTGTTCTTCTGTGGCATGAAAGATGGATCAAAGAAAAGTATGAAGGTGATTTGCACATAGTAGATAGTTAATTAATGCTGAATGTATGAAGGCAAAACACCAAGTTAAACTTCATTGTGTATCTCTAACATAACAACCCATTTTATCCAATCCCATTTCATATTGTTCAATTTGCTACTTAGATAACAAATTTCACTCATTCTAGAAGGAAATAATGGTGTTGGTGCTTCAAAATAAAAATTGATTCACCAGTCAAATGTGGCCCTCTAAATGTTCCTGTTAAAGTGTTTATTCTTGCAGAAATTAACATTTTCTTCTTCTATTCAAAAGGAGGCACATCTGAACAGCTGTTGGAACTGCTGAGAAAGAAAACAAAGTTAACCAAGTACAAAAGTTAGGCAATGAGGAGTCATTCTCCCCACCCCACCCCTTTCCCCTTCTGCAACCATGTGAAAAGATTATTGGAAAATAAGGAAATCACAAGCTGTAAAAGTATGTTTCCTATCCTCTCTCATAGTGTCCAAGTCAAACACATACTAAGCCATAACCTTCTTGATGACGCCAAATTTTCTTCTGCACAGGTCGTGGTACCTGCAAAGCACCAACTACTCAGTGAGAAGCCAAGGCTGAAAAACACTGAGATGAGTCATGACCTACCTGATTTTCTTCATGGGAAACCCTCATCTGCTCCTTGAGGACAGACATCCGCGCTGCCTCTTCTTTCCTCAAGACTCTCTCCTTCTTAAGCTCAGGGCTCCAGAAGGTCTTAATACTGTTCATGGAAGATCCCAACTTGCTGTCCTTGATGTCGAGCTCTTTCCGGAGGAGGTCATTCTCTCTCTGCAGTTCCTTCAGCTGGGCCTGAAGATCTAACATTGTGCTGTCTCTTACCTGCCTCAACATGGAGGGGACCTGGTGGTGATGATGATGGGATGAGCCAGTCAGACCACCATGTTGATCTGTGTATGAAAGGACATCTGTGTGGGAAAGTCCAGCAGAAGCAATATTGGGACTACTCCCCATGGCTGTGACACGGCCTCCATATACAGCTCGATTTGTAGCCCTTCCCAGAGTCATGGTGCCCTTTGGGTAAGTTGTTGAAGCCACCCCTTCATGATCACTCAGATACATGGGTCCAGACGTAGCATAGGCTGCATTGAGGGACTGGATATTCTCCATAGACAGAGTCTTGCCTGTTCCTCCACCTCCCCCACTGCTTGTTCTTCGGTGGCCCAAACGAGGAGACCTTGGCAAACGAGGGGATCTGGAAGGGCTACCTTCCAGATTGGTGATTGTTCTTGCACTTCCATACATTTTTCTTCTATTATGAGGTGTTACTGAAGGGAAGAAATGCGATACTAAGTTGGGATTTGAGCTAATATTTCCACAATTGTCCAGAATTTTCACTGCACCAGAAAATAACTCCACTCAGAGACCTGCAAAGTGAGAAAAAGAATAATTAAAAACAACTTTCTTTACAACTCTAACTGCATTATATTTTTAAATATATACTGACAGATGAACCTACATGGGTAGGTGATTAATAATAGAAAGGGTCACAGCTATAATGTTCATTTACAAAGAAAAGTGACTCTCAAACTTTACTACTACATGTGAAAGTTTTACAAATTCCCTCACCCTGCCCCTAAGCAAGATAAAAATTCTCAAAGTGAAAAATAAGGTCTATTCCTTAGGAAAATGAAGATCTCCATATTGGTTTGTGCTAAGGTTAGAGTTGGAACCTCCAGAAAATTCCCCATGGAAGACCTTAGCTATAAAGTGGTCCCTCCTTCGATGTATAACCCCCATAGGCATGTGGTTTGAAAGTCACTCTGAGAAGCTGCTGCTTCCTCAGATGTCAAATATTTGGCTTGCATGTTGTTACCTTCGGCTCCTATACTCATTACAGACCTCATTAATCCACAACAGTCCTCTTTTCCACTAGGTTCGGAATTTTTCTCAACACAACACTCTAGACAGCTTACTACTAATCAACTGGCATTGACAAATGAATTGAAACCTCCTGGCTATCCTGGAGCTAGAAGAAAAAGAGGTAGGTCAACCAATGGGATGCCTAAACACATAGCCAGATCATCAGTGCTATTACCAGAGAAAACAACAGTCCTATCTCTTTCCCCTTTCACACACATCTTTCAGGCTGGCCTCTTGAGAATTATTTCCCATTTTGGTTGACCTTAATATTCCTATTAACAACTTCATATCCATACAGAAATGGCACAGAAGAGGTTCTCATCATGATTACTTAAGTATATTAGTGAAGATTTTATGTAGCTGGGGCTACAGCACTGTAAGTATCCCTTCAATTTTAGCATTCATATGGCCCTAATGGGGCTCATTATGGCCTCCTGTTCTTCCTCTTAGGACGTCTTTAGTGTGTTTCCTTTTTCTTTAGCTTTACAACAATAAGAGAACAGATTCGATAATGGCAAGCTGAGGTTCAAACCTCCGTGCTAATACAAACTAGCTGAGTAACCTTAGACAAATTTACCTTGTTATGAGCTTCTATTCTGCAATCAACAAAATGCAGGTAATACCTCCTAACTCGTAGTATTTTAAGAAATAAGAAGATGTTTATAAAATACCTAGTTTGATGCCAAGAAGCAAATAGTCAATAAATAGACTTTGAAGGTAAGTGTCTCAATGAGATAAGTACATTAATAACAATATACAGGGGCATCTTTTATTTTCACCTGCCTATCATTCATCCCTATCTACTCTCCCAAATACACACTTTCTGGTAATACTGTCGCTATTTTCCTTACAGAAATTGTTCCCAACTCCCTACTCACAGTTCATCAGGTTTAGGTAAGGTTGACTCCCTTCACTCCACCATCCTGGATGGTGCAAGGGGTGAGAACATGACCCAAGCCTGCCCAAGCATCATATTCTGTCCTCCAGACATGGTAGGAGTGATGGGCATGTGACCCACATTGGTCCAACAAGACTCGATACTGTAACTCTGGTTGGAACAGCTGGGAAAGATAAGCTCTTCTTCAGCTGGAATTCCTTACTTTCAAGATAGAGCTGTAAGTACTACAATGTGGAAAGGGCCTCCCTGAGGGTGAAGACAGTACAAGAGAACTAGAGTTAAACTTCAAAGAATGCGAAACCAAACCAGATGACATCACTTAATACTCCAGATGCAGTAGTCATAGAAGTTAACATTATCTATCATCTATACATCTGTTCCCAGTCCATTTTAGCTACATACGCCAGGTGACTGATTGCATTAATGGTACCAATTCTTTACTCTTGCTCTTTTTCTTATTGTACTTTAGATTCTGGGGTACATGTGCAGATCATGCAGGATTGTTGCATAGGTGCATACATGGCAAGATGGTTTGCTGCCTCCATCTCCCTGTCATCTATAACTGGCATTTCTCCCCATGTTATCCCTCCCCAACCTCCCTACCCTTCACTGTCCCTCCCCTAATCCCCCACAATCGACCTCAGTGTGTGATGTTCCCCTCCCTGTGTCCATGTGTTCTCATTGTTTAACACCCGCCTATGAGTGAGAACATGCGGTGTTTGATTTTCTGTTCTTGTGTCAGTTTGCTGAGAATGATGGTTTCCAGGTTCATTCACATCCCTACAAAGGACATGAACTCATCATTTTTTATGGCTGCATAGTATTCCATGGTGTATATGTTTCACATTTTCCTTGTCCATTCTATCATCGATGGGCATTTGGGTTGGTTCCAGGTCTTTGCTATTGTAAACAGTGCCTCAATGAACATACATGGGCACTTGTGTTTATAACAGAATGATTTATAATCCTTTGGATATATAACCAGTAATGGGATTGCTGGGTCAAATGGAATTTCTATGTCTAGGTCCTTGAGGAATCATCACACTGTCTTCCACAATAGTTGAACTAATTTACACTCCCACCAACAGTGTAAAAGTGTTCCTCTTTCTCCACATCCTCTCCACCTGTTGTCTCCAGATTTTTTAATGATCACCATTCTAACTGGTGTGAGATGGTATCTCAATGTGGTTTTGATTTGCATTTCTCTAATGACCAGTGATGATGAGCATTTTTCATGTTTATTGGCCTCATATAAGTCTTCTTTTGAAAAGTGTCTGTTCATGTCCTTTGCCCACTTTTGAATGGGTTTGTTTCTTGTAAACATGTTTTAGTTCTTTATAGATTCTGGATATTAGCCCTGTGTCAGATGGGTAGATTGCAAAAATTTTTTCCCATTCTGCTGGTTGCCAGTTCACTCTAATGATTGTTTCATTTGCTGTACAGAAGCTCTGGAATTTAATTAAATCCCATGTCTATTTTGGCTTTTGTTGCCAATGCTTTTTGGCGTTTTAGTCATGAAGTCCTTGCCTATGCCTATGTCCTATGTGTATCCTTGCATGTGAGATGGGTTTCCTGAATACAGGACAAAGGGTTTTGACTTTTTATCCAATTTGCAAGTCCATGTCTTTTGATTGGGGCACTTAGCCCATTCACATTTAAGGTAAATATTGTTATGTATGAATTTGATCCTGCCATTTTGATGCTAGCTGGTTGTTTTGCCTGTTAGTTGATGCAGTTTCTTCATTGTGTTGATGGTCCTTACCACTTGGTAAGTTTTTGGAGTGGCTGGTACTGGTTGTTCCTTTCTATGTTTAGTGCTCCTTTCAGGAGCTCTTGTAAGGCAGGCCTGGTGATGACAAAATCTCTCAGCAGTTGCTTGTTCATAAAGGATTTTATTTCTCCTTCGTTTATGAAGCTTAGTTTGGCTGGATATGAAATTCTAGGTTGAAAGTTCTTTTCTTTAAGGATGTTGAATATTGGCCCCCACTCTCTTCTGGCTTGTAGGGTTTCTGCTGAGAGATCTGCTGTGAGTCTGATGGGCTTCCCTTTGTGGGTAACCCGACCTTTCTCTCTGGCTGCCCTTAGCATTTTTTCCTTCATTTCAACCCTGGTGAATCTGAGGATTATGTGCCTTCGGGTTGCTCTTCTTGAGGAATATCTTTGTGGTGTTCTCTGTATTTCCTGGACTTGAATGTTGGCCTGCCTTGCTAGGTTGGGGAAGTTCTCCTGGATAATATCCTGAAGAGTGTTTTCCAGCTTGGATTCATTCTCTCCATCACATTCAGGTACACCTATCAAACGCAGATTAGGTCTTTTCACATAATCCCATATTTCTTGGAGGCTTTGTTCCTTTCTTTTCACTCTTTTTTGTCTTATCTTGCCTTCTCATTTTATTTCATTGAGTTGATCTTTAATCTCCAATATCCTTTCTTCTGCTTGGTCAATTCAGCTACTGAAACTTGTGTATGTTTCACAAAGTTCTCTTGTTGTGTTGTTCGGCTCCATCAAGTCATTTATATTCTTCTCTAAGCTGTTTATTCTCTTTAGCATTTCATCTAACCTTTTTTCAAGGTTCTTAGTTTCTTTGCATTGGGTTAGAACATGTTCTTTTAGCTCAGAGAAGTTTGTTATTACCTACCTTCTGAAGTCTGCTTCTGTCAATTCATCAGACTCATTCTCCATCCAGCTTTGTTCCCTTGCTGGTGAGGAGTTGTGATCCCTTGGAGGAGGAGAGGCGTTCTGGTTTTTGGTGTTTCATCCTTTTTGTGCTAGTTTCTTCCCATCTTTGGGGATTTATCTACCTGTGGTCTTTGTAGTTGGTGGTTTTTGAATGGGGTCTCTGAGTGGATGTCCTTTTCATTGATGTTGAAGTTATTTCTTTCTGTTTTTTAGTTTTCCTTCTAATGGTCAGGACCCTCTGCTATAGAACTGCTGGAGATCCACTCCAAACTCTGCTTACCTGGGGATTACCTGTGGGGGCTTCAGAACAGTAAGGGTTGCTGCTGGTTTCTTCGTTTGTTATATTCATCCCAGAATGGTACCCGTCAGATGTCAGCCTGAGCTCTCCTTTACAAGGTATCTCTTTGGATACACAGAGGTCAGGGAGCTGCTTGAGGAGAAAGTCTGTCACTTATAGAAGCTCATGTGCTGAGCTGGGAGCTCCATTGTTCCATTCAGAGCTACTGGGCAGGTATGTTTAAGTCTGCTGCAGCGGAACTCATAAATGCCTTTTTTCCCAGGTGCTCTGTCCTGGGAAGGTGGGGCTTTATTTTAAGTTCCTGACATGCTGCTGCCTTTTTTCAGAGATGCCCTGCCCAGCAAGGTGGTAGCCTAGTGACAGTCTGCCAGCAGAGGTGTTACTGAGCTGCTATGGGCTGTGCTCAACTGCTGTGTGAACTTCTTTGTGGCTTTGTTTACAGTGGTAGAGTTAGAACTGCCTTGGTAATGGTGGTCTGCCTCAGCAATGGCGGACTGCCTCGGTAATGACGGACTGCCTCAGTAAAGGTGGATTGCCTCAGTTATGGCAGACTGCCTCAGTAATGGCAGACTGCCTCGGTAGTGGTGGACTGCCTCAGTAATGGCCAATGCCCTTCCCCCCACCAAGCT